TGCAGACCCTGATCGACAAGCTGCAGGGAGCTACCATTTTTCTCTAAGATGGACTTGCACTCTGGCTACAACAACGTTAGGATCCGGGACGGAGACCAATGGAAGGCAGCCTTCAAGTGCAAGAAGGGACTCTTCGAACCCACAGTGATGTTCTTTGGGCTTTGTAACTCGCCCGCCACCTTTCAGGCCATGATGGACGATCTGTTCAAGGACATGATTGACGAAGGATGGATTGTCATCTATATGGACGACATTCTGATCTTCTCCAAGGATGCAGCCACTCACGCGGAACGTACTCGGCGAGTCCTCCAACGTCTTAAGGAGAACGACCTCTTCCTGAAACCTGAGAAGTGCATCTTTGACGTTTCAGAGGTCGAATTTCTGGGCCTCATCATCCGACCCAACGTCGTCGCTATGGACCCTACTAAGCTCGAAGGCATCACTCACTGGCCAGCCCCGACCACCGTGAAGGGAGTCCGGTCCTTTTTGGGATTCGGCAACTTCTACCGTCGTTTCATATCCCACTATTCCGACCTCGCTCGCCCCCTTCACGACCTCACACGGAAAGACACACCATGGAGGTGGACAGACACCGAGCAACGTGTGTTCGATACCCTGAAGCAATGCTTCATCAGTGCACCAGTCCTACAGATGCCGGATAAAACCAAGCCATTCACCATCGAATCTGATGCCTCTAAATTTGCCACCGGCGCAGTTCTCCGTCAAGCAGACATCAACGGAGACATGCACCCCTGCGGTTACCTCTCCCAGTCCCTGGATGCTGCCCAACGGAACTATGAGATCTATGATAGGGAACTCCTTGGAATAGTACGCGCTCTAGAGGAATGGCGACACTACCTGGAGGGCAGCTCCTACCCCGTACTAGTCCTATCCGACCACATGAACCTGACCTACTTCCGTACCGCTCAGAAACTCAATCGCCGTCAGGCTAGATGGAGTCTGTTCCTGTTCCAGTTTGAACTCGAATTGCGTCACATTCCTGGCACTCGTATGGTCCAATCCGACACCTTATCCCGTCTGCAACATCTGAACCTGGAGGTCAACGACAATAACGCTGTCGTCCTACTACCTGATCATCTGTTCGTGTCAAGGATAGACATCAGCCTAGCGGACCGCATTCGTGCAGTCCTCAAGACAGATCAGGTAGTACTCGACGCTCTTGCTGCGGTGAAAACGGGTGGGATCTTACCGATGAAATCCACGTTGAAGGACTGGATCTCCGATGACGGCCTAGTCTTCTATCAGAAACGCTGCTACATCCCCTTGGACGAGGAACTACGACGGGACATGGTCCAACGCTACCATGACCATAAACTCATGGGACACCCAGGACAATTTGGCACCCTCGAACTCCTACGGAGGGACTACTGGTGGCCCGGCATGGCGTCGTTCGTCAAGAACTACTGCTTAGGATGCGCCATATGCCAACAGGCGAACGTTAACACTCATCCCACATCTCCTCCATTGCTACCAAT